AATCAGCAAATAATGCAAAAGAAATATGACAACGAGATGCTGCGCTGCCAGAAACTTGTATTATTGTCGGCTAATGTTAGTGAAAGAGTCGTTCGGGGGATTCATTCACAAACTAATCGCTCCCTCCGTCAGTATGAGAAGTGAAAGCAGGAGGGGGTGAGTATTTCAGGACATGATTAGATCAGATTTAACAGGGAGGGTGGATAGTACATTTCTGTACACACAAACACAAGCCTATTGTCAGGAACGCCAGTGCGATCACTGATCCATCAATGTAGAAAAGTGATGTAAAATGATCATTTTCGTAATTAGAAAAAAAAAAATTTGCATACTAACATCCAGGAAAACTCCCGATCATAGATATATGTGTATATGTGTATATCTCTAATTTTGGATGGCCACAGTCCTCCACTGTACCTTAGTCCCGCATTCATTTTGAAGGAGCGCTACCTTGTTCCAAAATGGCGGCTCTATTGACGCATTCCTTCCAATAGACAACAACAGGGTAGGCGACATCTAATTATATATCTATGGTCTTTTTTTAATGAGGGAGAGATGGTTACTAGTGGGCGGGGCTTTCCCCCTCTGATGACACGTACAAAGGGAAAACGTCAAAGTGTTTCTGCAGTGTTTCTCTTCTTATCAAGTTTAATTATAAAAAATAGAATTAATTATTTTTTACAACAAGAAGCTGCTTATATTCACAAACTGCTGACACACAACTGTGTTTAAACCCCTTATAAGAGGTCACAAACAACATTCATTGCAGATTTTATTTGACTCTTTTATGGAAAAAAGAGCAGTTGTGATTTTTAAAGATAATACACACCCCCTTCACTCAGCATTTGGATTGCTACCATCAGGAGGCAGGTTTAGAATTCCTAAAGCACGAAGAAATGCTTATAAAAAGTCATTTATCCCAATGGCAGTTGTTGTTCTAAACCGGATCAATGTTTGTAGTGAATGAGGTGGTTACCAAGAATGATTTGCAGTGTTGTGCATGGGGCTAATTTGGTTTTTAAACTTTTAACTTATGTTGTTGTCTTGATAAGTGTTGTTATTGTGTGTCGTTGTTATATGTTTGTAATTGTTGTCCTAAATCAAGTGTTGAAGAAAAATGTCCTTTCTGTGTCAAGCAGAACGGACAATAAAGTTTAAACTAAAACTAAACTAAATTTTTGCATAATAGGTGCCCTTTAATTCCTATATGTATCTTTGAGTCTGTTTTCATATTACTAGTGTACATGTGCAAAGATTAGCACTTTTGTCACACCGAGACGTTTTTTTGCTTGCGCTTTCTGTCGATGTTTAACGCCTCGTGACTAAATAACGGGCGTCAATGTGACCGTGCACACCAACGCGCTAAACGGCAGGCGCAAAAGCGTCATTTAAAAAAAAAAACGCCTCATGCTTGTTTTTTTGTTTTGACATGCCGTGTCGAAACCTTCTCCTCCAATCAGATTGGCACTTTTGCTCACGTGCATAGAGCTGCTGAAGTTACAGTAGACAGCAAAACTGTCAATGCGAGTCCACTGAAGAAGATGCCCAGAGGCGATATGAACGTGGGGCTACTTATTGTTCTGCTGAACAATAATCATTTCTTCATCGCTAGAGCTGGAGCTGCTGCTTGAACCATCCATGCTTGTTCGAGTCACCAGTAACTTTAACAACAAGCGTGTGAACGTCCTCTCCTCCTCTTCTTCTGTGTTATAAGCAGGTGTCAGGAGCTTAAAGTTGTGTAGCGCCATCTAAAGTCAATAAGTGATTTTGCATGCACTTCTGCTCGACGCCAGTGAAAATCGCTTGGGTTTGAATGCGGAAAAACGTCTCGTAAAACGCTGACAATAAACACAACTGAAAAGCGTCCCGGTGTGTAGGAGCCTTTACTGTCACACATTTACATTCGCAGTGGGATAATCATTGTGGTTTGCAGCTATAACCCTCATTATTCCTCTTAGACTCTTATTAAGCAGTGTGTGCCCTCTCGCTGCACAGACTGATGGGTAATAATTACACACACTGTGGGTTTGTTCTGAAAGCCAATGCTGAGTTTAGTTTGTTCCTCAATATACACTTTCCACTCCGGAAACACACACACACACACGACGGGATGATTGTTGTCTTTATACCTCCCAAAGTGTGTGCTGTTGTTTATGTCTGACACAGATGTGCAAATACTATTATTTACTGCAAGTCTGTGCTGAAACATGCTTTAAATAACCAGCTTGTGCAAATGTTAATGTTGTAAATCTTTATATATAATAGTAATAGTTGCTCTCCTACAGTAAGGTCTAATATGTTTAGTGCATTAATGTAAATGCATTAACTGCTAAAATCTAATGTTTTCGTTAACACTTTACAATAGGGTTCATTAGTTAATGCATTTACTAACATGAACCAATCATGAACAACACTTGTACAGCATTTATTAATCATAATTGAACATTTACTAATGCATTATTAACATTCAAGTCCATGCTTGTTAACCTTGAGTTAACATGAACTAACAATGAACTACTGTATTTTCATGAACTAACGTTAACTAATATGAATAAATACAGTAGTAAATGTATTATTCATTGTTTGTTCATGTTAGTAAATGCATTAATTAACATTAACTCATGACCCTTATTGTAAAGTTTGACCATGTTTTCTTTATATTGATTTTATTTATTCATTACTTTTTTATTTATTCATTATTTATTGATTTAATTTTAATCTTAAACAATTTAGTTTTTATCTTAATACAAATACACTGAAAAAAATTATTCAGAGATGATTCCTTGGATTTACTCAATTTTTTTACGTTAAGTGGTTGTAAACAATTTATTTGTGTTGAGTTTAAACAAACAAATTAAGTTGAACATTGTTAAACTTAATTTGTTTGTTTAAATTCAACACAAATAAATAGTTTGCAACAGTTCTGCATGCAACACTTTTTTCAGTGTAAAAGCTTAATATATAATGTAACACATAAGAATGACTATTAACAATTGAGATTAAACAATGACCTGCTTTAAATAAATAGATAGATAAATAACTGAATAAATAAAAAATATGTTAATAAATTAAAAATAATGAGAAGAAAACAAATGAAAAAGTGCACATTATGGGTTTAGATACAGCTCATTATTATAAGGAAATCATTCATTTATTAATTTTCAGCTGCTTTATTAGGGCCGGGTCGCATGGGCAGCAGTCTTAGGAGAAAACTCCAGACTTCTCTCTCCCCAGACACTTCCTCCAGCTCCTCCAGGGGGATCCCAAAATAGTCCCTCCAGCGTGTCCTGGGTCTTCCCCGAGGCCTCCTCGCGTAGGTAGGCGTCCAGGAGGCATCCAAAACAGATGCCTAAGCCACCTCAGCTGACTTCTCTCGATGTGGAGGAGCAGCGGCTCTACTCTGAGCTCTTTATGGGTGACAGAGCTCCTGAGATCTTGCTCTTTTGGCCATAACCCAAAGTGCGGGTTTCAAAAATCCCTTATGAGTTTCATAACATTGAAGACCGTGACTTGCCCAGTATGGCACAGTCGGGGCCCCACTCTAGAGCCAGGCCTGGGGTTGGGGCTCGTATGTGAGTGCTTGGTAGCCGGGTTTTTTCCTACGGAACTCGGCCAGGCTTAGCCCGAAGGAGTAACGTTTGACTATACTCCTGCAGGGGGTGCTGTAAGGGGCTGGTGTAGAGGTCTGCATTCCGCGGGCGCCGCGGGACCCGACCAGATTTCTACGGCGTGGGTATAAATTTCCAAATAAATCACGGGAGCGGTCGGTAACGGGTTTAATTTGGGACGGGAGCGGGCTGTCTAGCAATATCGCTCCCGACTCTCGAGTGAGCACGCGTATGTATGTGTGTAAATGAAATAGCGCGATGCTGTGTTTAGCTTGTTTGTTTCAGTGTGTGTGTATGTATGCACACGCGTGAATGAGAGATGTGTGTGTGTGTGTGTGTGTGTGTGTGTGTGTGTGTGTGTGTGTGTTTGTGTTTGTGTGTGTGTGTGTGTGCGCGCGCGCGAATGAGAGATAGAGAGCTTTGCCTCATTGCCTGTGTTTGTGCTTGGTGCTTATGAGTGTGTGTTAGAGGGCGCGCGTGCGCGAATGAGAGAGAAAGCTTTGTGTGTGTGTGCTTGGTGCTGTGCGTGTGTGTGTTTATACAGACAGCTTGTTATAGGCTGTCTGGACCGTATAACTGGGTAATTTTTCGGTTTTGGTTCTCCCCCCGCTCTTTAGCGGGATCAGGCGCGCGGATAGAAAACGGGGCGGGGCGGGCAGCGGGACATCAAGTGCTTAATATAAGCGGGAGCGGTCGGGTTCCGGCTAAAACCTGGCGGGTGCGGGCGGGAGCGGGATTCAAAATTTTGTCCCGCGCAGATCTCTAGGCTGGTGCATTGTGGAACAGGTGGTGGTTGAAGATTAGGACCACGACAACCCGATCGTCCGGCTTATTTATTTTTATTGTTATGCAATTTACATGTTTTATCTTAATATACAACATTAAATATAACCCCATTTAACAGTCAAATATATAATTAATATATCATAACAATAGCAATCAGTGACATTAGGAATGGCAATAAACAATCGACATCAAATAATTATCTACTATAAAAGAATAAATAAAAAAAAGTGAATAAATAAAAATTAAGAATACTAATAAAATCCACTGGATTGGCTCTATCACTATAGCTGGTGTGTGGTGAAGCACAGGCGCTGTTGTCCTGTGGCTGCTGTCACATCATCCAAGTGAATGCTGCACACTGGTGGTGGTGTGGAGAGACTCCCCTCATGATCACTTTGAGTGTATGGCCATACGCAATAAATGCGCTATTTAAATACACATAACATTACATTATAATAAACACATTAACTCAACACTCAGTGATTGTGGCTCAGCAGAGTGGTGTGTTTGGGATTTTATGTCTGGCTCTGTCTATAAATGATGATGAATGTGTATATTTTAGTGTTATGGTCATCTGTCTATAATAATGTTTGTGTTTATTCACAGACCTCTTCCTGAAGATGGTGATTTAGACGGACTCACTGACAACTGTAAGTTCTCTAGTGCTTCTGATTTGTGTGTTATTAACAAGCTGAGACCAGTCAAGCTGAAAGTTAAATGACGATTGTTGTTGTTGAACATGAGTTTTTAGCATGATGACCGCACAAACCCTTTGACTAGCTATTTTGCGAGGTTGATTAGGCAATTTAGGTTCAGTTGTTTGCTCTGTAGCCAGTCAAAAAGTATATATTTATTAAGAGGGCTAATAATATTGAGCTTTTAAATCAAATCAAATCACCTTCATTTTCACATCATCAGCAGCAGCTGTACTATGATGAGTGACAAGCGTAGGTGTTGTGTCCAGACAGTGCAAAATACAACAACATACAAGACAATAAAGAATTAGCAATGTTGACAGTAATACGTATACGTAATGGGAAAAACACACAATACACACATGCAGGCACAGATAGACAAGTGCAGTCAAAAAAAAGGTGTACACTCTGACTGTTGGTGGAAAATTATTGTATTGCTTTAAGGATTGGTTTTATTACTTTTATTCCAGTCAAACTCAAGACAATGAGACTTTAGACTAAAAATATAATAGTAAATATTGTAAAAAATGTATTTGCTCTGTTATGCTACGTTCACACCAGATGCGGCACGCGCGTCAAGCGCGAGTGATTTACATGTTAAGTCAATGCAAACGCGTGAATAGACATCATGCGGCGCGAATGGCGCGGCGCGAATGACGCAAATTTCGCGAATGGCGCGGGGCGAATTAAGCGTTTTGCGCGTTTGACGCGCTTAACGAGCGTTTCACGTGAATCTCTTGATTTCGAAAATCTGAACTTCAGCGTACATTCGCGCCGCGTTAACCAATCAGAAACTTGCTCTTGTGGGGGTGTGATTGTGACGTAGAACCTGTTGTCGGTGTTCCGAGGGAAATCCTCCAGCCTTCACCGACAGTTCATCAAACTCGGCTTGGCTCAGTCAGAAGCACCGCTGAAAGCCTCCATCATCCAGGTTCAGTTTCTGGAGGAGTTTATGAGCTCACAGAGCTGCTGCACCTCTGAAAGCATGTAGTGGACTCAGACACGACCCTAAACGAATCGACGCTGTTTTTCAGTCTTTATAAAGCACATAAACACTGTTATTTTCTTCATAAAATCCATGTTAGCCATTTAGCTATGAAGCTAGAGTCTTCGGGCAGACAGAAGCCCTGCCCATCACGCGAATTCGCGTCTGTTCTGAAGTGAATTTGACACGCTAATGAAGTGGGGTTTGACACGTGAATGAAGCGAGTAAACTCAAATGTTCACGCGGCTATTTACGCGCGAATAGCGCAATTTATCCGCGCGTTCTGCGTCTGGTGTGAACACAGCATCAGACATCATGTGGGAAATATTTGAACTAAGAAAATATAGAAATTTCTCAAGTCGTCTAATAATTTTGTCTGTAAATAACATTAAAATAGCACTGCTGTGTTCTGCTTCAGGAGTCTTTTTTTTTCTCAAATATAAAGCTGAAGAAACTTAAGAATTGATTTCAGAAGTGTTGGATTTTATTTCATATTTCTCATTAAAGTACACATGAAATCAAAACTAGCCGCATTGATTTTGTTAGCTCACATTGCTCGTTTTGTGGTGAACAATTCATCTGTGCATGTCATTCAGAAAAAAAAAAACATAGTTTGCCCTTGTAATCTTTGATTGAAATCTGAAAATGCACTTAAATTCTCAGATTAGGGGCTCTATCATACACGAGGTGCAAGGCACGACGCAATTGTTATTTGCTAGTTTCAGCTTGGCGCAAGAGTTGTTTTGACGTTTTCCGCCACCCTGTTTAAATAGCAAATGCGTTTGCGCTCATATGTGCGCCCATAGGCGTTCTGGTCCAAAAAGGAAGGTGTTCTGAGGCGCACGGCTGGCGCTTTCCTATTTTGACAAACTGTAATAGATTTTTCAATAGACCAAAATAAAAAAATAGTTATTCACCTCGCTTACACACTGCCTAATACACACAAGATGTAGAGGATTACGCAAATATCTTTACATATGAAAAAGAATTAAAATATTAAGGATATATATAGGATATAATAAGAACAGATATAGGATATAAATATAAAGGATTAAAATATTACAAAACATATTATTTTCCAGCCTACATAAATATAAAAAAAAAACTGCTTTTATGTCTTCTTCATCTCGGGACGCTTTTCAGTTCATTCATAACAATTTGCTTTTGTATAATGTCAATATTATTAGCAGTATTATTTATTATTTGCATATTTATATTTGTTTTATTAAAAACAAGCTTAGATTTTCCCACCTGCAGGTTTTAGACTATATGGGGCACAGCATGTTTATTTGGATATAACTCAGGTTTTTGAGCACACTTCGTTATTATTGTTCATTTATTTGTTTGCTGAAAATTAGAACTGAATTTAGAAATAGTTTTGAAACAAATCTTTGCGCTTAACAAACTAAATTAATTATTTATAGGCTAATTGATGTCAGTGCGTAAAGGTTTCCCTATCCAAGAGCGAAAGTGAAAGTAGGTTATGAGATGTCTTATCTCTCATTCTCGCGCTGCAGATGTCTGTTTAACTGTTTTCTTGCAAGTTAAATGCTTAGTTTTTCCACTTAGACTTACTTTACGTCATGTAAATATCAAATGCGCTTATGGTGCGATGCATCTGGCCTTTGAAGGGAATGGGAGATGAGACACTGATTGGTTTATTCTCAAAACGCACCTATAACTCATTAAGAAAATAAACTCAACCCTTTTAGACCATGCGCCAAGGTGCAAAGTGGATTTTTCCGTCCTTATATTAGCAAAAGTGGATTCTGACTCGCCCTGAAAGCGTTTGCGCCCTGCGCTTTGCGCATAGACCGTCGAAATAGAGCCCTAGGTCTGTCTGAGGTATTGGGCGTGGCTAACATACTTAACCACGCCCCTCCAGCTCTCAGTTTTGACAACAAACAGAAAATCAGCTCGCAGTAAAAAACAAGCCACGCCCACTATTTTCTCATGTAATATTTATATTTCATTTAATGAATAACTGTATTACAATACGAACAAATAAAAAAAATGTCTGCAGCTTCTGCTTCATGCAGACTTTAATGTGTCTAATGTTTTCAGCTCATCACGGCGCTCTAACGGCGGATCATCTGGACTCTGTCAGACAGAAGCGCCGCACATTGATCGCTCCCGATATAAACCTGTCGCTGGACAAAAGCGAAGGTTCAGTCCTTTCTGACGACTTTTTGGAAACTCCAGATGATCTGGACATAAACGTTGACGACATCGAGACGCCGGATGACGACTCTCTTGGCTCTGCCAACAACGGCACCGAGCTGGAATGGGAAGGTCAGTCTCTTCCACTGATGTTTTTACTTCACTTTTGTGCTTAAGCACTTTTTTTTAAGTATCTGGGGGTCGAAGAACAGAAAAATAATAACTTTAAAGTTTTAAAACGTGAACAGGAAGTTGCTTTTGTTAAGAATTAAGTCTTTTATTTTAATATGTTAATGTTAATTTTCTACATGTTATGGTACAGATGACACTCCGGTGGCGAGTGCGAAGGGTCCAGGTGGAGATGATGGTGACGGGACAGGGCGTCTGTGGAGAAGCGTGATCATCGGGGATCAGGAACACAGAATAGACATGCAGGTGATCAGACCGTACCTGCGCGTCGTCACACATGGAGGTCAGTGTGCTTTTACCTGCTCGTCTGAATATACAGCGTAGAACTACACTCATTTACCCACAGAATATAACCATCGAAGACTTCAAGGACAACACATAGACTTCATACACTTCATTAAGCATGTACACAAAGTAGAGGATGACACGGGAGTGAATTCTCAGTCCTGTCCCGTCCCACTCCCACAGAAAGAAATCTTGTCCCATCCCACTCCCAGACCAAAGTTTCAAAAATAATCCTGTCCCATCCCGCTCCTTGTAAAATGACTCCCACTCTCACCCCGCTCCTGTTTAAAATGACTCCTGTACCGCTCCCACATAATGTATACAATTTGATTTTATCTGAACCCCATCCTGTTTTAGACCAGCTGCTGAGTCCCTGTTTCTAGATTTTCTGGAGATCAGTTCTAGTTAGTTAAAACAGTAAATAGTTCACACCCTGTCTACAGTTGTTTAATAAACCTATTTTACTCATTTATTGAAAAGTTTTTTAATTAAAAAGGTTAAAGGGGTGGTCCACTACGATATCATATGTTAAACTTTAGTTGATGTGTAATGTAGCTGTGTGAACATAAACAGCATCTCTGAATGTAAAATGCTCCAAGTTCAATGCAAAGGGAGACCTTGGTTTTTACAGAGTTCGCTTAGCAAAGCCTACAATAAACGAACTTTGGAGACTACAAAAAAAACAAACATCCGGGCCTGTGAGATCACAAACATACTTTTACCGTACACACAAACTGCGCAGCTGAGGGTCGTGGCCAGAGGCGCTGTAATGTTACAGCAGAGGGAGAAAATGCCGTGTAAACGCTGCTATTTCCACAGAGCTTCTCTGTTTCTGTATTTGGGCTTCCAAAGGACACGACACAAAGACAGAAGTGCTTACAGTTCAATATTAATTATGTTACAGAGAATCATAAAATATATAGCAAGCATTTGACAAAGCACAGCTTCCAGAATCTCCCAGTTCAGAGCTGGATTTGATTAAAATCTCCTTAAAAGAGGAGCTCCAACAAGCAGAAGCTGTGAACTCTGAGCCACAACCTGTAAGTGTTTTTATTGGTTAAAATTGATCATGACATGTACAGTGTCTAGTGTTAACGGTATGCTGTAGCAAAGATGTAAACAACGGGAAATGCTGTTTGGCACCGCTAACGATTTAGCTACAAATTCATATTTATCAGTCAAACTGCTGTAAACACACACACACACTTCACCAGCACGTGCAGCGTCTCTATATAGGCAGCTTTTCCATGCGTTTTACATCTCAGATAATGAACTCGCAAAAGATATGTGAACGATTCATATTACTTACACATGCATATTCCAATATATGTGAAAGACGTCGTGTAACGTGTTGAGTTAGAAAAAATACAGGAGAGCTAACTCATGTAGCAGCAGAAAAATCAATCAAGGCTCACACAGGTCGCATCCCACATCTCGTGCTTTATTCTTTTTTTTAACAGTGTCACTGTATATTACAGAAAATAACTTAATCCGAGCATCAAAGAAAAATAAACATCAGTCCCGCGCACATACATTTCTCCTGTTACATGCGTCTACAGACAGTTCATACACACACACACAGGCACACACAATGGCGATCTCTCTTACAGGAGCCGCACCCCATTTTCACTTGTTACAGACATTAGTCTGATGTTATTTTAGAGAGCGGGCATGAGGTTGACTGACTTTTTACACAGCAGAAAAGTGCATGCTTGTAGGGCGTGACGTGGAGCCGATTTGCGAATCACAGCACATTATGATAGATAACCAATCAAAGTCAATTGAGGGCGGGCCTTTCAGAGGAACTAGGAAATATATTAGCAGAGTAGCTGTATATAATCAAAGTATTATATATGAAATAATATATATGTGATTTTCTTCAAGTGAAACATGAGCACACACTGTTGTGCATCTTATAAACACAACCAAGCCTTAAAATTACATTCGGGACCACCCCTTTAACAATTTTCATCCAATATGCTCTTGTATAATGAGAGAGAGAAATGCAGCATGCATAATTTAAACATATTAATTAAACATTAAAACATTGAAAAACAATCAAATAAGCAGAAACAAAAGTTGTACACACATACATGCGCATATATACAGTTGAAGTCAGAATTATTTGCCCGCCTTTGAGTTTTTTTCTTTTCTTTTTTAAATATTTCCCAAATGATGATTAACAGAGCAAGGAAATTTTCACAGTATGTCAGATAATATTTTCTCTTTTGGAGAAAGTCTTATTTGTTTTATTTCAGCTTGAATAAAAGCAGTTTTTAATTTTTTAAACACCATTTTAAGGACAAAATTATCAGCACCTTTAAGCTATTTTTTTCTCGATAGTCTACAGAACAAACCATCGTTATACAATAACTTGCCTAATTACCCTAACCTGTCTAGTTACCCTAATTACCCAGTTAGGCCTTTTAATGTCATTTTACGCTGAATACTAGTATCTTGAAGAATATATAGTCAAATATTATTTACTGTCATCATGGCAAAGATAAAATAAATCAGTTATTAGGAAATGAGTTATTAAAAGTATCATGATTAGAAATGTGTTGAAAAAAATCAAGTTAGCATTCAGCTGTATATATAAAATCCAAGATCATTTGTATAGAAACAGAAAGGGATAAATGAACATATTGACCTTGACTTTCAGTCCCGCCAACTCTCTTGTGTTGACAGGTTATTATGGTGAAGGACTGAACGCCATCATTGTGTTTGCGGCCTGTTACCTGCCTGACAGCGGCTGCGCAGACTACAACTACATCATGGAGAATCTCTTCCTGTAAGACACAAACACAACAGTTTAATTATGTAGCCAAAGTAAAGCAGTGTGCTGAGCATTTACACTCAAATAGCACAGACTAATGTGTCTTGAAGAGGCCGGAAGTGAACAAAGATACCTTTAAAAACATAATAATTCATTCATTCATTTTCCTTCGGCTTAGTTTTTTATTTATCAGGGGTTGCCACAGTGGAATGAACCGCCAACTGCTCCAGCTTATGTTTTACCGAGCGGATGCACTTCCAGCTGCAATCCAGTACTGGGAAACACCCATACACACTCATTCACACACACACACACACATTCATACACTATAGCCCTATTCCCCGATTCCCCTATAGCGCATGTGTTTGGACTGTGGGGGAAACCAGAGCACCCTCCACACAGAAATGTCAACTGCTCCAGCTGGGACTCAAACCAGCGACCTTCTTGCTGAGAGGCGACAGTAAGAGAGCCACCTTCCTGCAGATTTCAGTTGCAACCCATATCAAACACACCTGCCTGTAATTATCACGTGGTGTTCAGGTCCTAATTAATTGGTTCAGGTGTGTTTGATATGGGTAGCAACTGAAATCTGCAGGAAGGTGGCTCTGCAGGAACAGGGTTGGCCACCCCTGTACTAAAGTCACACTAATGCCAATTTCACAAAATCAAATGTAATTGTTTGAAAGCATTGACTGAGACAGTTTTGAATGTTTTTGCAGTACTGTAAAACACAAGCCTACACAAAAAAATGTAAATATAATTATGACAATTACGGTAAAAATACTCATGGTTGACATTTGCATGGAATTGCTCGTCTATATTTTGAGCTGTATTACTGTATGTGTGCAGGTATGTGATCAGTAGTTTGGAGGCGCTGGTTGCTGAGGACTATATGATCATCTATCTGAATGGAGCCACGCCGCGCAGGAGAATGCCAGGCATCAGCTGGTTAAAGAGATGCTACCAGATGATCGAAAGACGGTACAAACATACACATACACACACACACACACACACGCGTTTGTTTTTGTGAAAAGTGGGTACATTACATAGGTTTCCATTCATTTTATACTGTTCAAACCATATATTGAATTGCTCTCATCCCACCCCACCCCTAAACACAACAATCACAGGAGACTGCAGCTTTACCCTCTGATTAAACTCATCCTGTGGGATTTATAAGCTTTTTGAAAAATGAGGACGTCACCAATGTTCTCATATTTCACCTCCTTTTTGTAATACCTGTGTATTTATACCCATGTCATTATACAGATTTGTGTCCTGATATGTCACTAAAACACGTACACACACACACACACACACACAAATGCATAAGCAACACTGAGACAGAGCTGATTCTTCATTAAAGGACGCCTATTATGCAAAAATCTATTTTATAAAGGGTTTAAACACAGTTGTGTGTCAGCAGTGTGTGAATATAAGCAGCTTCTAATAGTAAAAATGCATTAATTCTAATTTTTTATTTTCAGACTTGATGAAATCAGTCTGCAGAAACACTTTGATTGAAATTCTCCCTATGTACGTGTCTTCAAAGGGGGAAAGCCCCGCCCACTGGTGATCATTTCTCTCTCATTAGCATAGGATGTCAGTCTTGTTTTTGAATCTGCCACTATGCTGAGACACAGGCATTTGTAGCTCCGCCCTCTTTTTAAAAGAGCACAGTCTCATTTGAATTTAAAGCGACAGTCACCAAAACAGCACAATTAGAATCAAAGCCTAAAAGGGGCAGATATTTTTGTGTGATATTTTAAGCAGAAGCTACACACACACTCTCTAGACACATCAGAGAGATATATATTACATCTTGCAAAAAGGGGCATAATAGGTCACCTTTATATTAAATACAATTTGAATGATGTCATTGGTAATTAATAAGGATTTATTTAACTCTGGACCCAAGAATTTGTTTTTGGTATGGAATTTGACAATTATTGTATTAAGGTGATGACATTGAGTTTCTTTATTCTGTGATCCTCCAGGTTAAGGAAGAATCTGAAATGTCTGATCATTGCACATCCTACCTGGTTCATCCGCACCGTTCTGGCAATCTCACGGCCATTCGTCAAGTAAGACAACAGCAAATGTGTATTATCATAATCACATAGACTGTATACAGGACACTGGGAGACAAATACTGCAATCATTCAGATATACCCATGCTCTTTGGGGACCCCAGACAACCAAAATATAATTTTTTTTTTTTAAATAAAAGTAATTTCACCTGGTCAACAAATGTTTCTACTCTACATTTGTGCAGCTTTGGGTTGATTTAAATATGTACAGTCAATCCCGAAATTATTCATACCCCTGGTAAATTCAAATGTAGTGTATATATTTTATTTATGTATTTTTGGTAACACTTTAGTTGAAGTGACCATTCACAGTATTTACTACTGGCCTTTTATCTTTTTATTATTAAGATAACTGTTTATTAGCACTTATAAAGTACAGTACGACCTCTTCACATCCCTAATCCTAGCCAATACCTAAACCCAGCTACTATCTTAATAGCTATTAGTAAGCACTTAATTAGTAGTTTATTAAGCTAAAAGTCCTAGTTAATGGTTTGTTAATAGTGTAAATCAGGGCTATTCAATTGCCGGCCCGCGGGCCAAACCCGGCCCCCGGGGCAGTTTGTTACGGCCCTCCAAATAGTGTGACAAGACATCAAAAATAAATTTAGTTCAGTCGAAAAACGGCAGCTATAGTTATGAAGCACCGTGCGTCTGTTCAATACAAGGCGGCTGCAGAGGCTGCGCATATCATAAGTCACCATAAGCGAGTAGTGCGGGCAGCCGAAAACATTTGGACATGTTTTGTAGAAAATGGCTTTTGTACTATGCACTGTAATCATTAATAGGGATGCAACGATTAGCTGATTTCACTATTAACTGCGCTTTAATTCGTCACAGTTAATTAATTGTAAAGGCTTCTCTAAGCCGCATTTCTGTTGCGCGGAAAAGTTATGACAAGTTGCCAACTTTGCGCTTGTTTAATGTTCCAAATATGTACACCGAGACTACTACGCATGAGAGTACCGGATTAACTATAGCAGCGACCGTTCCCATATCTTGTCTTTTCCGCTTGCAAGATTGTTAGGTCCCACTTTATATTAAGTGGCCTTAACTAATATGTACTTACACAGGAATTAATAGTTTGTTACAATGTACTTATTGTGTAAATACATGTATTTATTGAGTAACTATGCTTGATTAAATACCGGTATGTTATTACATCTGTAATTAACTTCTGTAACTACATTTGTAAATACACTGCTGACCATTCCCTACACCTTAACCCACCCTTAAACCTACCTATACCACCAAACCTGTCTATAACCAAACCTCTATCCCAACTCAAGAGCACCACAAGTGTTTTCAAATACATTAGGAACACAGTAAGTACATTGTATTTATTTTTTGATTCAAGTACATAGTAGTTAAGGACACTTAATATAAATTGGACTGATTGTTATTTCTAATGTAAGAATGACATTACGCGTGCAAAAGCGGAGCAACGCACTTGCATCTTTCCAAGTGCACATAGTACAAAACATCTCATGGTAAGTTGTGCGTGCCTTTCAGTGCAATGCAAACAAAAGATATGATAGGCGAGTCATTATTAAAATGATTATGCATGCATGAACGCAGATGATAACAACAGTTAATCTAAATAGCTACTTCCATAATATAAAGCTTGAATTTACATTAGCCGTGATAACCGTAAAACCATCATTATTCTTCAGACTATATAATGGTACAACCAATGTCTATAATGTTGCATCTCTAATTGCTCTGCTGTTCAAAACATAACATATGAATGTTTCTGAATGTAGAAGAAGCCTACTGAAGCAATGCACTGCTTTTGTTGTGCGAAATACAACATTTGAATGTTTGTAAAAAAATTTTTTTAAAAGTCAATTGGACAATGCAGTTGTTTTAAAATACAATATAGTAACATTTTAATGTAGAAAAAGCCAACGTGGGTGTCTTTATGAGCACAAATACAGCATATGGGTGCTTATATGTACAGTAGTTGTGTCATCACTCATACAGAAGTCATTATATATATATATATATAATATAATATAATATATATATAAGAGGCAGTGGCGCAGTAGGTAGTGCTGTCGCCTCACAGCAAGAGGGTCGCTGGTTCGAGCCTCGGCTCAGTTGGCGTTTCTGTGTGGAGTTTGCATGTTCTCCCTGCCTTCGCGTGGGTTTCGTCCGAGTGCTCCGGTTTCCCCCACAGTCCAAAGACATGCGGATGCGGTGCAGGTGAATTGAGTAGGCTAAATTGTCCGTAGTGTATGAGTGTGTGTGTGAATGTGTGTGTGTGGATGATTCCCAGAGATGGGTTGCGGCTGGAAGGGCATCCGCTGCGTTAAAACTTGCTGGATAAGTTGGCGGTTCATTCCGCTGTGGCGACCTCGGATTAATAAAGGGACTAAACCGACAAGAAAATGAATGAAAGAATGAATAAATATATATTATACAAAAACAGGTTTTAATGTAAAATTCACTAGGATAATATGGATAATTTGATATGGTTTAGTGTTTTTGTTCCCTAATCTAAAGTCTAATATCATCCCTTTCACCAGTAGATGGCGGCAGAGCTCCACTATTTGTTATTTGACAAACTTAGGATTGTTTTCAAGTTTTCTTTTAGGTTGGATTAATATCTATACAGAAATCATAATTATAGCAATAAAAATGACTTTTCCTCTGAAGACTGAACTAAAGTTTTGTGATTTTGTTTCTGATATTAATGATATATTTTGTTCATTTTCTAAGGGGGTCTAAAGAGATATGATTCAAATGTGTAGATCTAGAAAGTGTACTCTTTCCACCACTGGATTTAACTTTATTCATTTTCTTTTTGGCTTAGTCCCTTTACTAATCTGGGGTCGCCACAGCAGAATGAACCGCCAACTTATCCAGCATATGTTTTACACAGTGGATGCCCTTCCAAGCACAGCCCAGTACTGAGAAACACCCAAAAACACACACACACACACACACACACACACACACTACAGCCAATTTAGTTCATCCAATTCCCCTATAGCGCATGTGTTTGGACCAGAAGCGGACTGGGACTAAAAATCAGCCCTGGCATTGTAGCCACACCAGCCCACATTACCACACCCACACAGCCCCACCCAAGGACACGCACATTCACTACCTATATTGGTGTACAGATGGTAAAATTATGTAAGCAGTACCTATTTAAGAGATATTTAAACATTTAATGTATGTGACTGGAACAAAAACAACCCATTATATGCAATTATGTCATTCATTTTCTTTTCGGCTTAGTCCCTTTATTAATCTGAGAATCGCCAACTTATCTAGCATATGTTTTACAGTGGATGCCTTCAAAGCTGCAACCCAGTACTGGGTTACCCAATTCCCAATTGGCCTACCCAATTCACCTATAGCATGTGTTTGGCCTTGTGAAGGAAACCAGAAGGAAACCCACACGAACATGCAAACTCCACACAGAAACACCAACTGACTCAGATGAGGCTCAAACCAGCGACTTTCTTGCTGTGAGGTGACAGCAGTACCTACTACTACACTACCTACGCCACTGCACTGCCCCATTTCGAGACTAGTTTAGTAACTTTTATGTATTTGGCAATGTCTGACTTGACTGCCTTTCCCTTTTTATGGTCTATCTCTGACAATTAGCTTGTGTTGCACTTACTGTTTGTTTGACATTCTTGTCAGATTTTGATTACGTCTGCGTAACCTCAGATTGGGTCGGCCCATCTCGAAACCAGCCGGTTGGTGCCGATTGAGCCAATCCTTAACATTTACCATTATTCTTACTATTATCACCATCATCATCATAATATTCACATCTCGCAAGAGATAAAAGCTGCCTACATTTAATAAACAATACATATGAAAAAAAAAATTTAAAAATAGCTGACCGGCCCACATTTAAAAGATGGTCCAGCCCTTCTGGCATTTGCCAGAATTGCCAGATGGCCACTCCGCCCCTGGTTTGGACTGTGGGGGAAACCGGAGCACCCGGAGGCAACCCACGCCAACACAAGAACATACAAACTCCACACAGAATAGGCAACTGGCCCAGCAAGGACTCGAACCAGCGACCTTTCTTGCTGTGAGGCGACAGTGCTGACCACTGAGCCACCATGCAGAACCAAATGTATTCATTTTTTGGTTTGTTGGAAGAGTGCCACTTCTAGAAATGTCTGTTTATTGTTTCTGATTTTAACGACCCCAAAGATCAGGAGTGTGATTTTTTTACAATAAGATAAATGCAAGATATAATTAGAATTTGTAGATCTAACATGTAATTTACTCCTGTGATCATTAGTCTTAAAGGGCCATGAAACCCCCTCGTTTCAGCAGGGTGTTTTCACACCTCTACTTTGGAAAAAGTCAGAAAAGTGGGCGTGTCCAGCTCTGTTTAGGGGGGAGTGTCGGAGGAACTAAAGTGGGATGGTGTGGGAGTGTCTATTTGTGCACGCGCGAGTTTCAGAGTCAAAATACACACCCACACAGACAGGAGAAAGGGATGGTGTTTAACCTACAGGGACATCTGTAGTCGAATTATTTGCCAAATTATTAAATGGTGGACTTTAACTGCAGTTTGGCTCTTTCATTCAGGGAATTCATTCATGTCTCTCGCGACAAACGAGATATTTGATTCGAGGAACTGCTGCAAGCATGTATTTTTCCTGCAATGTTTGATACCGCACGGCAAATGAGAGAAAAAAAACTCTGCATTTCCCGGAAACTTACATGCACACGGCAGGTAGCGTCAGAAAGCCGCGTGTGTTATTCCGGTCACTAAATGCGGTGCTAACATTTCTGCACTCAGTGCAATAGTTAACTTAATTCGATACGAACAAACTGAATAAACAAAGAGCGCTGGTCGCTCACTTACCAAATCTGTAGAGACAGAACAATCACCAGCAACTAGAGCCGCGTCTTTATGAAGAGAATACTACAAGCAAATCCAGATTTCAGCGTTTGCAGATGAGAACAGCTCTCAGGTAAACAATGTTCCTCCTTAGACACGTAAGTTATTGTTGTCGCGCGTCGCGTACACTGTTAATCCACACGTGATCCAGATAAGCTCTCACAGAGAGAAAATGAAAACGAAACTTAATGGCAGCAAACTATAAAAGCAACACTTCACGCTTGTTTTGCCAACACAACGTGGCGTCTTTGTGGTGTAAACACGGTGACAATAATGAATATTAATGAAGTAGCACAATAGAGCGCGCTGATTGGTTTGACCCAAGCCTTACTCATGCATTAATGCATCACACTGTAAGACGTAATAAGACACACTCTGGCACAGACGCCCAGTCTGCATGCTGGAATACACACTATTATGTCATGACCGTGACGCAGCTTCAAAAATTCGTTTCAAACAGGAAGTACAAATTTGCTTGAAATAACGCAAAAACAACCAATTTACACTTTTTAGTGAAATATAGGTGTCCTAATAGTGTTTTTAGCAGTGTGGCACACATATACGACTGTCAACAGCTCAAAAAATGTGTTTTGGTGTTTCGTGACCCTTTAAGTGTCACGTGATCCTTCAGAAATCTTTGTAATATGCTTCTGAGTCTGACTGCCGGTGTAAACAGCTCCGGTGCTTTGTTGAAGGTGTTTTTAATCTTTTCTCTCTGCAGTGTGAAGTTCATGGATAAGATCCGTTATGTGCAGAGTCTGCAGGAGCTGGCTCAGATTGTTCCTATGGAGCATGTGCAGATACCCGAGTGTGTTTTGCAGTAAGTCAACTTCACCAGCAGGAGGAGCACAGGCACACACACACACACAGATGTACCAAAACATACAGTTGAAATCTGAATTATTTGCCCGCCTGACTTATTATTATTCACCCCACAATTTGTGTTAACCGGAGAGAAGATTTTTCTCTAGTTTTTTTTCTACACATTTCTAAACATAATAGTTTTAATAACTAAATTCTAATAACTGATTTATTTTGTCTTTGCCATGATGGCATTACATAATGTTTGACTAGTTTTTTTTTATTTTTATTAAGATACTTTGTGACATTTAAAGGCTTAACTAGGTGAATTAGGCAAGTTAGCTCAATTAGACTATCTAACACAAATATTGCTAAGGGGGCTAATAATATTGACCTTAAAATGGTTAAAGAAGTAATAGTAGTAGTAGAAGTAATAGTTGTAGTAGTAGTAGTCGTTGTAATAGTAGTGGTGTAGTAATAGGTTGTAGTTGTTTAAGTAGTAGTAGTTGTTGTAGTAACAGTAGTTGTTGTTGTAGTATCAGTAGTAGTAGACGTTGTAGTAGGAGAATATATTGTGATAGTAGTAGTCATTGTAATAGTATCAGTAGTGGTAGACGTTGTTGTAGTAGTATCAGTAGTGGTAGACGTTGTTGTAGTAGTATCAGTAGTGGTAGACGTTGTTGTTGTAGTATCAGTAGTGGTAGACGTTGTTGTAGTAGTATCAGTAGTGGTAGACGTTGTTGTTGTAGTAGTATCAGTAGTGGTAGACGTTGTTGTAGTAGTATCAGTAGTGGTAGACGTTGTTGTGGTGTATCGGTAGTGGTAGACGTTGTTGTTGTAGTAGTATCAGTAGTTGTAGACATTGTAGTAGTAGTACATATTTTAATAGTAGTAGTCATTGTCATAGTATCAGTAGTGGTAGATGTTGAAGTAGTAGTATCAGTAGTAGTAGAAGTTGTTGTAGTAGTATCAATAGTTTTAGACATTGTAGTAGTAGTAGTCGTTAAAGTAGTAGTAGTAGTAGTTGTAATAATAATAATTATTATTATTATTATTATTATTATTATTGTTATTAAAAAATGGTTTAAATAAAATTCAAAAATTTTATTCTAGCTAAAATAAAACAAATAAAACTTTCTCCAGAAGAAAGAAAATTATAGGAAATACTATTATAAATGTCTTGCTTTGTTAAACAATATTTGGAAAATATATAAAAAAAGAACAATTAATTCAAAGGAGGGCGAATAATTTTGACTTCAGCTGTAAGTGTTTTGTTGTTGTTGTTGTTGTTGTTGTTGTTGTACCAACACATACATGTGCCATGAGAAGATGATTCTTCTTCAAAACTGAATTGAATTATTGAAAATTGTATTATGATACCCTGAATTCAGACTACATTGCAAGTTAATTATCTATAAATAAAAAAAAATCTGGAATATTTTTACTTAGAATGATGAAATAGATAGTTTTGAAACATTAAACTAAAATCTATTTGGTAACACTTTACTTTATAAGACTGTCATTAAACCTTTATAATCAATTAATGTAAATGAGATTTTGTGCATGCTTATAACAACCGTCGTTAAGTGTCGTTCGGTCAGTTATGTCATTTTAAATGCAAAGTTGACATTGTTTGTTATGACAACTTGACATAAACAAATACGCCACAACTTTATTTTAGTCTTTGTCATGACAACTTGACGACACCAAGGCAACAAAACTTGCCATAAATCTGTCATAAACAGCCCTTCAAGTAAAGTGTTACCAAATAGCTATACAGTGCAGACAATGAGTATTGAACATGTCATGTTTTTTTCCTGGCAGTAATATTTCTAAAGGAGCTGTTGACATGGGATTGAAGCAGATTTTGGTAAAAACCCAAACAATACAAACATAAAAATAAAACAAAACAAAAGAAGGAGTTCTGTGTGATAACAATGGAATGACAGAAGGAGAAAGCGCTGAACTACTGAAACATTTTTAATACTTTATATAAAGTGTTTTTTGGTGTTGCAGCTTAAATCCGCCTCTCATATGGAGAATGAGGTCTCATGCATTGCTCAGGTGTGAGTTTCACTCAGGCTTCAAAGGAGTGTCTAAATCTTGATGATTCTGTGGGTCTTGTCTATCAAATCTGAGCTTTATCTTGTATTGTCTATTGGATTGAGATCAGGTGATTGGCTGGGCCATTCTACAGCTTGATTGTCTTTCTCTGAAAGCATCTGAGAGTCTCCTTGGCTGTTTTTTGGATCATTGTCTTGCTGAAATGTCCACCCTGGGTTCATCTTCATCCTCCTGCTGATGTAGATGTTGGACTGAAGCAGCTGATATTCAATTTTATACTGAGGAAGGGCAAAGGGTTGCTGAGGAACTACTGAGAGATTTCAGCTGCTGTCTGGGCTTTCACTGCCTTTCTACACCTCCGTTTCTTCATGTGTTCAATACTTTTTCCCCTGCGTCATTACATGCAGAACTTCATTTGTAAACTAATTAGATTGTTTTCTTTGCAAATATGGATTTCTTTGGTTTTTAACAACATCCGCGGACAATTTCAAATCAACGGCACCTTTAGAAATATGTTGACATGTTCAATACTTATTTTCCCCACTGTGTGTGTATGTCTGTTTTGTTTTGGGTTTTGGGAAGGTGGTGGCGGGTAAGTCGGTGCTTTTAAAAAGACTTTTGGTTTGGTTTGGGGGGGTGGCGGATTAATTGGTGCTTTTAAAAACACTATTGTATGGGTTTAGGGAAGGGGGTGGGCGGGTCAATCGGTGCTTTTGAAAACACTATTGGTTGGGTTTAGTGGAGGGAGTGGGCCGGTCAATCTGTGCTATTGAAAACACTATTGTATGGGTTTAGGGGAGGGGTGGGCAGGACAATCGGTGCTTTTGAAAACACTATTGGTTGGGTTTAGTGGAGGGGGTGGGCCGGTCAATCTGTGCGATTCAAAACACTATTGTTTGGGTTTATGAAAGGTGGTGGGCGGGTCATTTGCTTTAAAAAACACTTTTGGTTTGGTTTAGGGGAGGGGGGTAGGCGGGTCAATCGGTGCTTTTGAAAACACTATTGATTGGGTTTAGGGGACAGGGTGGGCGGGTCAATCGGTGCTTTTGAAAACACTATTTGTTGGGTTTAGGGAAGGTGGTGGGCAGGTCAATCGGTGCTTTTGATAACACTTTTGGTTGGGTTTAGGGAAGGAGGAGGGTTGGTCAGCGGCCTCTGGTGAATATACACAAGAACAGCAGACCTGAATATAATTTGAGATCAGAAAAAGCCTACACAGTGGTCTCTAATAGATATGTGAAAACAAAAACTGCAACAAAAAAAAAAAAAACGTAGCTCCTGGGACGTATTTAGGGCTCTCCAGAAATGTATATAGGGGTATGTTTTCAGAATGAGCCTGGGATGATTGATTCTTTTAAAAATATTTCCCAAATGATGTTTAACAGTATTCATCATGGTATTTCCTAAAATACTTTATTAAGAAAGTCTTATTTCATTTCATTTGGCTGGAATAAAAGCATTTTTACCCTTTTGAAAAAAAAAAATTATGGTCCAAATTGTTAGCCCTCTTAGGAAATTATTCTTTTTAGGATTGGCTACAGAAAAAAAAACTCTGTCAAATAACTTGCCTAATTAACCCAGTAAAATGTCACTTTAAGCTGAATACCTGCAAAACATGTAGTGAAATATTATATGCTGTCATCATGGCAAAGAGAAAATAAATTAGCTAGAAGCATTTTAAATATCTTTTAAAATTGTGTTGAAATAATCTTCTCTGATAAACGTGAGAAATATTTGACAAAAATCATTTTGTCTTCAAGTGTACATATTACACAACCTGCATACTCAAAATATTATGAACACAATCTACACACTGGTGGATCTGCTTGCGCTGAAGCGGTTGTGTTTCAGAAATGCAAAGTGTTTGTAATGTGACAGTGTGAGAACAGAGTGTGTGTCTTCTCTTCTTTCTGCAGATTCGACGAGGAGCAAATCAAAGTGCAGAGAGAAAGGTAAAACTGCAGGGGTTTGTGGGATAGCATGAGGAAATAGTGCATCTCAAGTTTACACTCTGGCCTTTACATGATTTAGATGTTAAACAAGCCAGAGCGGGGCGGTGTCTCTTACACACTGGACTATAACACACACATACAGCTTGATGATTAATATAATGAGCTTTCTATATATATACTGGCAACTGTGTTTAAATGCATATATGTATGTGGGTCAAAGATGAAAAAAGGGTTTTGTCCATCATCAAAACAATTGAAGTATGTTAAAAATCGAAATATTTTTCATGCATTAAATCTTTTTGTTTCTTAATGTGTATATACTGTACACTGACCAGCCACTTTATTAAGTACACCTTACTAGTACCGGGTTAGACCCCCTTTTGCCTTCAGAAATGCCTTAATCCTTCGTAGCAAAGATTCAAAAAGGTACTGGAAATATTCCTCAGAGATTTTGCTCCATATTGACATGATAGCATCAAGCAGTTGCTGCAGATTTGTTGGCTGCACATCCATAATGGCAATCTCCCATTCTGCCACATCCCAAAGGTGCTCTATTGGATTGAGATCTGGTGACTGTGGAGGCCATTTGAGTACAGTGAACTCATTCAAGAAACCAGTCTGAGATGATTCACGCCTTATGACATGAAAATCCCAGTAGATCAGCAGTTTCTGAAGTATTCAGACCAGCCAGTCTGGCACCAACAACCATGCCACATTCGAAGTCACTTAAATCACTGTTCCTTCCCATTCTGAATGGAAAGGAAAACCTCTGGGTTTGAACTGCAGCAGATCGTCTTGACAATGTCTGCATGCCTAAATGCATTGAGTTGCTGCCATGTGATTGGCTGATTAGAATTTTTTGTTAACGAGCAGTTGAACAAGTGTACCTAATAAAGTGGCCGGTGAATGTATAGATGAATGTATAGAAAGCAGTCAGTAAATCAGCATACTATCATCTCAAAAACATAGCAAGAATCAGATGCTTTGTTTCTAGTGAAGATTTAGAAAAACTTGTTCATGCTTTTATCAGCAGCAGGGTGGATTACTGTAATGGACTCCTCACTGGTCTTCCTAAAAAGACAGTCAGACAGTTGCAGCTCATCCAGAACGCTGCGGCCAGAATTCTAACCAGAACCAGAAAATCAGAGCACATCACACCTGTCCTCAGGTCTTTACACTGGCTCCCAGTTACATTCAGAATAGATTTTAAAGTATTATTACTGGTCTATAAATCACTAAATGGCCTAGGACCTAAATACATCACAGATGTGCTCACTGAATACAAACCTAACAGATCACTCAGATCTTTAGAATCATATAAACTAGAAGTTCCAAGAGTTCAGTCAAAGCAGGGTGAATCGGCTTTTAGCCACTTTGCCCCTCGCTGCTGGAATCAGCTTCCAGAAATGATCAGATGTGCTCCAACATTAGGCACATTCAAATCAAGACTGAAAACACATCTGTTTAGCTGTGCCTTTACTGAATGAGCACTGTGCTGCGTCCGACAGATTGCACTATCATGTTTTTCTCTTCTTCTTCATTCTTTCATATCACATTTTACCTGTTTTTATGTTTTGTTTCGTTTTTATGCATTTTTATTATTTGTTTTTATTTTTATTTTACTTGTTTCTTTTATTCTTGTTTATGTAAAGCACTTTGAATTGCCATTGTGTATGAAATGTGCTATATAAATAAACTTGCCTTGCCTTGCCTAGTTATACACGTACAGTTGAAATCATTCGCCCTCCTGTGAATTTTATTTTCGTTAAATATTTCCCAAATGATGTTTAACAGAGCAAGGATTTTTTTTACAGTATTTCCTATATTATTTTTTTCTTCTGGAGAAAGTCTTGCTTGTTTTGTTTTTTGCTAGAATAAAAGTTTTAATTATTTTAAAGCCATTTTAAGGTCAATATTATTAGCCCCATTAAGCAATATTTGTTTTGGATTGTCTACAGAAAAGAACACCACTGCTATACAATGACTTGCCTAATAACCCTGACCTGCCTTATTACCCTAGTTAAGCCTTTAAATGTCACTCTAAGCTAGTATCTTGAAACATATCTAGTCAAATATTATGTGCTGTCATCATGGCAAAGATAAAAGAATTCAGTTATTAGAAAAGAGTTATTAAAACTATTATGTTTAGAAATGTGTTCTGCTCTCTGTTAAATAGAAATTGGGGAAATAAATATACAGGAGGGATAATAATTCTGACTTCAACTGTGTCAATTTAATTGGATGCAGACACAGAAATCTTGTCTAGTATAATATATAGTTGTAGTTTTTTCTTAGACTTTCATAGTGCACTAATGTGTTTTTTCTGTATTATTTTACCTCACAGGACTGAACAAGTGAGCAAGACATCAGAGAGGTGAAACTCTTTACATCTATATATAAACTGAACACTAAAAGTATCTCGTGTCAAAAAGTGAAAGTATTGTTTGGTCCTACCATATCAAACAATTCTGTCTTTTATTTTAGTTAATTATTTGTTTATTTATATTTTACTTTTATTTTGCACACTACTCAAACTATTTAATTTGTCAAAAAGTGAAAAGGTCTGCAAATATATGAAAAGTTCAGATGCAAAAGCCGCTAAACGCTACTTCCGCCAAAAATGAGATAATGACATTGAGTGAATGCTTTAATTCAATTCCATTTTCAATTCAATTCAGCTTTATTTGTATAGCGCTTTTACAATGTAGATTGTGTCAAAGCAGCTTCACATAAATGGTCATAGTAACTGGATCAGGGTAGTTCAGTTTTTAGTGTTTAAGTTCAGTTCAGTTTAGCTCAGTTCAGTGTGGTTTAAAATCATTACTGAGAGTTCAAACACTGAAGAGCAAATTCATCATCTTTAGGCACGTAGTACACCATCAACAAATAGATTTGCTTCAAATCATCCAAATCCCAGCATCGGCGCATTCAGAAATAACAGTTTGTTGGCAAAAGCCTCTAAACACCACTTCCCTTTAACAGCAAAAGCCGCTATATCCCGAGAACCAATCAGAAGGCGCAAATCGGACCATATGTTTTCAATGTAGCTGCGCGCTGTTACGCCGGCTTCATGAGGACACATATTGCGCTTTCGATTTCGATTTTAAAAGACGGAGCCTTTCCGACTATCAGTGAATGGCAAATGAAAACGTCCCTTACCTCAACACTTTATAAGAAAAAGAAAACACTGTACAGTCGTAAGTGTAGCATGCGTTCGTAATGTTTTTTTGCGCAGCGACGCTACTTTGAATGAGTCTGATTTACTATACATTAAATAGCAACTCATTTCACGAAAGACAAAGAGTTAAGATGTTGGTCATTTATCCCATGTGGATGCTGTGAGGATAAACACAGGACCAAGACCTTAAGTATGGTGAGAATGAATGAATGAATGACAGCTTCTAAAATTGTCTGAGGCATCCCCTTTTTGCCTAGTAGGCCTACCTTGTGGTTTATTTGCTAATTTAAGCTATTTTTAAAAGATAAATAATGTGTATAATAATGTTATTCCAATGTGTATAAATAATGAATAAAACTGGCGGTTCATTCCGCTGTGGTGACCCCAGATTAATAAAGGGACTAAGCTGAAAAGGAAATGAATGAATGTATAAAACTCTACATTATTTGTATTACTTCATATTACGTATACTGCTGACAAGCGTTTTATATTAATGAACATTGCACAGATATTGACGTTTCATAATGTTTTACACTACATTATTTGAATCTATAAAGCTTAGTTTATCATGTTTGAAATGTTTACATTGCTCTGCTTACATTAAATCTAAATCCCAAATGTCAGAAATGACAACAGATTGTTTTGTAGATTTAACTAATGTCAGTTTTAATGTTATTGATTACTGCACTTTACAGATTTCATTTATTCGGTTTCTTTCTGCTTTTTCCCTGGTTTATCACAGTGGAATGAACCGCCACTTACTTGACAGATTTATATATTTTAAATTTTTTTTTTTTTTTATTTTAAAATTAAGTTTTATGTTTGGTAAAATAATTTCCAATTGCATCTTTAGTTTAAATGCACAAGTGGATTTAGCTGGTTTTGGTGAAAAAAAAATAATGTTTTACCTTGTTAAAAACCAAAGAAGTGTCTAAAGTGACATTTTTGAAAAATAGTTATTTTATTTACTAGCTAATAATATTTCCATTACATATAAAATGAAACTTCTGAACCTTATCAGAGTAGCCTGATAGAGAATGCTCATTTACAAGAAAAAAGGTCTGATGATTTAGAGCGTTTTGCATCTGAACTCTTCATTTTGACATCCTACAATATCAAACAATCCTGTCACTTATTTATTTATATTGCACTTGTCCAAAATATTTTGACATCATACCATACCATAACATATCAAACTATTTAACTATTTTCTAACCTAATTTCTTTATTATTATTATTTTGCTCACTAAAAGTATCTCACTTGTCAAAAAAGTATGCAAGTATTTTAACATGCTACCAAATCATAAGCTTCTGGCTTTTATTTTATTTTATAATTATTTCTTTATTATTATTATTATTATTATTATTATTATGTGTTTATTTAGTCCTTTACTTAATAAAAAAAATATTTTATTTCCTATTTTGCATGCTAAAAGTATCTCACTTGTCAAAAAAGTATGCAAGTATTTTGACATGCTACCAAATCATAAGCTTCTGGCTTTTATTTTATGTTATGATTATTCTTATGTATATTTAATTCAATTTAATTTAATTTTATTATCTTTTCAAGTTGCACACTAAAAGTATCTCAGTTGTATTTTGACATGCTGCCATATCATAAAATAGTGTTTTTTTATTTCTTTTATTTTGTTTTTCTTTTATTTGTTATTTATTTATTATCTATTTATTGTTATTTTATTTATTTCTTTTTCGAATGCACATATGCATTAATTAGTTTCTGAATTCACATTGCTATTTTTGTTATTTCTTACAATTAAAAACAGGTTGAACCATTAAAACATAGACCAAGATATTGAGTAATATAAAAAAAATAGAAAAGTAAATATGGATGCATGCAAACAAGAAATGCACTATTGAGTAAACCCACCGAGCACCTTTGACATTTTCATCATGATTAATTCTTATCTCGCATACTAATAGACGGATAGTGTGCAAATTGGGAAGCAGCCATCACATAATCTGGCCATGTGTATCTGAGAGATTTAGATTTCAAAGGTTACTGTGTTAAATGCAGACTAATGAGAAAACATCATGCAATGATAGTCTTATAGTACATGTTTCAGTACTTTAAAGTTCACATATTTCCATTTTACTTACTTGTGAATCTTTATTGCCAGTACTTATTCAACAAAAATATGCATCATGCAGTCCTGCCATCTAATATGTCCATATTTAAAATATTAAAATTTAAAATGTGTTAGATTGTGGAAGTTAAATGCATTGCAAATAGGGCTGCAGGATATTGGAAAAATCCAACATTGCGACATTTGTTATTTTATTTGTTGTCTGTAGGTACTGCTAGTTTCTGTTCAGGATTTGTTTACGTGCGTGAATGTGTGAAGTATCACAAGCTATGTATCAAAATTCCACAGATTTCTCAAAATAAACTTTGCATTTGGGCATAATCCAGCGCAGCTCTTTGACAATGAGATCAAAATATTACTCCTTTCTATGTAGTATTGGATGAACAATATATGTATGGTCTGTTCCTCTTTTTCTACTTTGGAGAAGAGAGAGGACAACAAAGTGTCACTGCTTACTGAAACTGGCATCTAAATGTTTTGCGTTTTTTCGTAATAGATTAAATAATACGAGTGGTGGGCCGTTATTAGCGTAACGTGCCATGTTAACGCGAGACTCTTATCGTGAAATATAAAAATATCATCGTTAATCTTTTCTCAAAGTTGGGTTGGGAGCTGGGTCTATTCTACGCAAGCTATGATGACCTTGATTTTTTTAGAGCGGATGTATCCCTGACCGGTGAGCCGTCTGACAAAAAAGTGCCCTTCTGAATCAAATCAGCAGGATAGCCCTCTGGGTATTTCACTTACTTCGAAGACATTACTGACTACACTTCAATGGACATCAGTAATCTAGTTATTTGCCTTAATACACAATAATATAATGGTGTTTACGTGAAATACTTTCTTGTAAGACAGTGGTTCTCAAACTGTGGTACGTGTACCACTAGTGGTACCCAGGCTTCCTTCTAGTGGTACGCGGAGGAATGAAATATGTCATGTACATGCTACACACATTTCAAAATTTATCAAAAATTATGATTTTAATATGTCATATATGACATATAGCCTATATTTCTGATGTAATCTGCCACGTTTTTTAATTGTGTAGAGTTGTAGCTGCTTTACTGGGCGTACTGCGCTACTGTACTTCAATACTTCTCGTTTTGGTGGTACTTGGAGAGACAATTTTTTTCTGAGGTGGTACTTGATGAAAAACGTTTGAGAACCACTGTTGTAAGAGTTTCCTGTAATTTTGGGTGACTTTAATCGCAGTTCTGCAGTTTCACATTCACTCATGAACATTTCATTCATGCCTCCAAACTGGGGTTTTAGATGCAAATAAGGAGTAAGGACTGGTGAGAGTGTTATGGAATTTAATAACGCACACCGAATGGGAAGAAAAAACTTCCGCATTTCGTGTTGTGTGTGTGTGTGTGTGCGGTCCTTTACTGACAGCTGTGTGTGTGGATCTTGTGGGAAAATATGGCAAAAAGTCTCACATGCCGGTAATAGTTTGATTGTGGTGTTTACTTCAATAACACCACTAATATCTGCATACTCCACATGTCTTAATTTCATTTCTGTTTAGTTCAGTTATGACTTTAGTCGCATTAGTTGATAGGTGATCGTTTAATTTATTCATTTATTCCAGTGATTTTAAAGATGAAATTTCAGCTTCAATACTGCACTTTTTACACCCCATTCACATGGGGCGTCAGCATCAACGCTTCCCATTCACTTTGAATGGGTTACGTCAGGCATTGTCAAACTACATTGTGGATCCATTGTGGACTAGCTCAACTTTTCAAGCGCCGACGGAAGCGTCAGCCAATCAGATCGCTGTGTGCAAATACACCACCTAGACAGTGGCCTATTGCTGACTAAATTTTATTGGCTGACGCTTTCTATGACGATCGCTTCAGCCCCAACTTCAGACACGCCTTCTTCAGTCAAGCATTGACGCTGGAGCCCCGTGTAAATGGGGCGTTAGAGACACATGATCCTTCATAAATCACTCTAATATTAATTACTATTGTTATTATTATTATTATTATTAATGTAATAGTAATAAAAGCAATAATGACTGGAGTAATCATTTTATTTAAATGTACAAACAATAACAAAGCAGTTATTTAACATTTTAATAAATAATTAACAATTTAATATTTTTTTATATATATTTATTTATTTATTTAATGTCGCCTTAATGAACTGAATAATTTTAACTTTTGAGTATATACAATTGAAGTCAGAATTATTAGCCCCCTTTTGATTTTTATTTTCTTTTTTAAATATATTCCAAATGATGTTTAACAGAGCAATGACATTTTCACAGTATGTCTAATAATATTTTTCTTCTGGAGAAAGTCTTATTTGTTTTATTTCGGCTAGAATAAAAGTAGTTATTAATTTTTTAAAAACCATTTTTGGGACAAAATTATTAGCCCCTTTAAGCTATTTTTTTTCGATAGTCTACAGAACAAACCATCATCATACAATAACTTGCCTAATTACCCTAACCTGCCTAGTTCACCTTATTAACCTAGTTAAGCCTTTGAATGTCACTTTAAGCTGTATAGAAGAGTCTTGAAGAATATCTAGTCAAATATTATTTACTGCCATCATGACAAAGACAAAATAAATCTGTCATCAGAAATAAGTTTTTTAAACTATTATGCTTAGAAATGTGCTGAAACAATCTTCCCTCCATTAAACAGAAATTGGGGGAAAAAATAAACAGTGGCGCTAATAAAACAGGGGGGCTAATAATTCTGACTTCAACTGTATATACTATCAAATTTAGTTACATAACAATTGTATTTTTTTTATTGTCAGTTGTATTAAAAAATGTTATGCTGACTAAAATAAAGAGTAGGTATTACAATTATGTTTGGCTTTTGACACATTACTTAAAATACTGTATGTGTCTAAAAAATAGCTATTAACTTTTATTAACTTTTTTTGGGGTGGGGCCAGAGAAAATTTTGGCAGGGCAAGTAGAAATCTGAACCACTGACCCGATCGGGCTAGTTGAAAAAACCCTTAGCATTGAACCCTGTCATCTGATCTGAACATGCATTGGAGAAATTCAAAGAAATGTAAAGTGCATGTTCTGTGTGTGTGACCATGATTGGTGTGTTTTTTTTTTTTTTTTTTGCAGGCCGCCCTCAGTGGCTGCGGAGGCCTGTCCCTGACGCATCTCACTGGGTAAGAGTGCGAACGCCTGATGGTAACCATACACGAGTATGTGATGTGCCGTATTTGGGGAACAGCGGGTGGTGTGTGAATGGCGAGAGGGGCGGCATCTAGTCTCGAACAGCGCAACATTTCTGAAGCGTGTTACATAAATCGCATCTGCTGCTCTCATCAGACGCAGAGTTATTTCTGACCAGACGACACATGCTGAAGTCCAGCAGAAGCACAGGCAGTAATGTAGACGCATGCTGATATTCAATAATTCAATATATTTTGATAATGAACAAGCATAATGTTAATATAATGAGTACACGCTGGTCCCACTTTATATTAGATGGCCTTAACTACTATGCACTTGCATCAAAAAATAAATGCAGTGTACTTACTGTGGTTATATTGCAGAGCACTTCTAATGCTCTTGAGCTGGGATACAGGTAGGGCTGTCACAATAATCAATATATCAACTTATCGTGCAAAACTTGGAGATGACCTGAATGAATTTTGCCATTGCAATATATATTTACAAACTCACAAATAACATTCAAGCCATTTTACAATGACATTTACATTCTACCTCACCAGTGTCAACGTTTATAGACAGACATTTACCTGATAAGACATTTAATAGTATATATAATAGGTCATTTACCTTTTTAACATCAAATTATAGAATCTAAACAACCTTAGTAATGGTAAGTATTTATGGCTATTTGCATTATTATAATGTTATATAATCATATAATCAGTGGAATAACAATAATAACAATAATATCGATTATCGCAACAATTTCTGTGACAACATATAGCACATAAAATTTGCTTATTGTCGCAGGCCTATATGTAACCCCGCCAGACCTACGCCACCCAACCCGCTCAGAGTTGGTATCAAACCGGCGACCTTCCGCATGGGAGTCGGTTGCTCTACCAAGGAGGCTAAAGACCATGGCCTCCAGCGTTTGTCGCTAGAGCACCTTTAGAGGTCAGAGGAGTGAAGTTTACCTGCACAGCACTTACTAGCTGGCCTCCGTTACATATATACAGGTCGGGTTAGTGACAAATTCGGTGGTATGGACAGGTTTACAGGCGGGTTTGGGTGTAAGGAATGGTCAGCAGTTTAATTACAAATGTAATTACTTAAATGTATTTAATCAATCACAAGAGCATTGTAAAAACAATTATTTACACAATAAGTGCATTCTAATATTATTAATTTCAGTTTAAGTCCATATTACCACTAGCCCTGTCACAATAATCAATATATTGACTTATCGCACAACATATGGACGTGGCCTCAATCATTTTTGGTGATGCAATATATATCACCCCTACATGAAAGCAATTCAAGCACTAACAAATTTTAGCTGATTGATAAAACTTTTTTATTAACATTTGTTATTATTTATTTCAAATATGCATTTTCACATTCTGATTCCAATGCCTAAATATTACATTTGCTAAAATTACTATAAATAAATAAAATATTATAAAATATCAACAGTTTAGGGTCTGTATGATTTTTAAATCTTTTGAAATAAGCCTTTCCTGCTCCCCAAGTCTGCATTTACTTAAAAAATACAGTACAAATAGTACAATTGTGAAATGTTATTGCACTTTAAAAAGAACTGTTCAAAAATAGTTTATCGTTTAATTTAATAATTTATTCCAGTGATTTTAAAGATGATGTGTACATACTGTATATTTTCAATCTGGCATTATATAGTGAGTGGCATAAAATGGTCTTAATAGCAATAATATCATATATCGCAATATATTTTGGTGCAGTATATAGGGCTGCTCGATTTTGGGCAACATCCTAATCACGATTATTTTGGTCATAATTGTAATCATGATTATTCAAAATGATTATCAGTTGAAGTCAAAATTATTAGCACTCCTGAGAATCTTTTTTTTAAATAAATATTTCCCAAATGATTTTTAACAGAGCAAGGAATTTTAACAGTATTTTCTCTAATATTTTTTCTTCTGGAGAAAGGCTTATTTGTTTTATTTTGGCTAGAATAAAAGCAGGTTTAAATATTTTGAAACCCATTTTATTGTCAATATTATTCGCCCCCTTAAGCAAAAAATATTTTCTGCAGAATAAACTACTGCTATACAATGACTTGCCTAATTACCCTAATTAAGCCTTTGAATCGCACTTAGAATCTTAATGCTTGTATTTTGAAAATAGTCTAATATTATGTACTGTCATCATAGCAAAGATAAGAGAAATCAGTTATTAGAAATGAGTTATTAAAACTATTATGTTCAGAAATAAGTTGAAAAAACTTCTTTCCATGAAACAGAAATTGGGGAGGAAAAGGGTTGCTAATATTCTGGAGGGCTAATAATTCTGACTTCAACTGCATATATACAGTTATTTTTACCCTGCAAAGAAAAGAGAAATAAATAAAATAGAATAAAAATATGAAACAAACTGTGCTTTAAGCATCTTCACCCTAAGGAAAACACTTTAGCAACAAAAGTCCTTTAGTCAAGAGCAGTAAGGGATTTTCTCCTTTTGTTGTTTGATTAATTATTAAACAGGCGACAGCAGGAACATCACGCGCTGTCACTTTAATGGTTTCTCTTTCACGTCTTTTGATTCTCAACTCGTATGTTTATTACACAAATGAGGGTTAATATGAATAATCACTAAACACCGCGTTTTGACAACTATTTGACCATTAAAGCACTCACATTAAGATGACTTTAGATTTGTGCGCTCTGCTCGTCTCAGTGTGCGAATGAGACCGAATGCGCGCCGCACACACACACACATAAGCACGCGTCTTTCGCGCTGCTAAGTTAATAATCGTTTATCTCGATTAATGGTTTTTCATAATCGTTATAAGCTAAAATCGAAATCGGATTTTCAATTAATTGCACAGCACTAACAGTATATTGTATAGCAAAAAATAGACATTGTGACAAGCCTCATTACCACATATGTAAGTACCAGCACTGGTACTTCAAATTACTGTAAAAAATAAATAAATAAATAAATAAATATATATATATATATATATATATATATATATATATATATATATATATATATATATATATATATATATATAAATGAGCAGTTTTACATATTTAGTGATTCGTGTTTCTTTCTTTTGAATTTTAGCACCTTTTTCTTTCCTCCAACAAATTTTGATCTTTAAAAGTTTTTAGAAAGTGACTTTTACTGATGTTTTTATTAATGATTTAGAATCTGTATTGGTGTTGTAAATAATGGTGCAATAAATTGTACTTTTTCTGTTAATTTACAGACTTTTTTCTATATGCATTACTTCAGAAAATATATTGTTGTTGAAATATATTGACTAAAAAGTCAACAAAAGCACTTTGTTAAACAGCAGAGTTGAATTTTCACCAGTAAAACAAAAAGTTCTCATAATGCAACTCAAAACCATAAATAAACAGAAAACTCCTGTGGATTATTAAATATAAAGTATACAGTTAAATATGAAAAAAGTTATTCAATAATTTCATTTTAATATTATAGTCAATAATTGATTATACTTTATTCGATTTTTGAATATTCATATTGTCGTGAGGGCATCACAGCACAAAATGCTTGCACTGCAAACAATGCTTTTCTTATTTAGAGTTTTTGTCTTGTTTCTAGTCCAAATCCTTAAAAATTATTTTTAAGACAAGAAATTTATATTGTCTTGTTTTAGGTTATAACATGTCAAAATTAAGTGAGTTTGTCCTTTAAAAAGCCAAAATAATCTGCCAATAGGATAAGCTAAACAATCTGGTATTTTGTTTTGACATTATTTTCTTACTCTATGGGCAGATTATTTTGCTTGTTTCTATAACAATAACATTTTTTTAAATAAATTTTGCTCTTGGGTTAATTTGCCTGGATTAAGATGAACTAACACTAATCAAATGTGTAGAAATGTCTGCCATAATTAAATTAATTTACACTATTAATGTATTTTTTGAGTGTAGTACTATTCAGCTGATAGCAACCAAGGGTAAATAAAAACTATGTCCATATGACTGGTGGGCTTTAATCCAAGTCAGAACTAATGTCAGATTTTGATCATGTCAACAGTGACATGACAATGATGTGTCTGAAGCTTTTAATATATACATTGTTAATATATAAAATATCGATATATATATATCGACACGACATTTGACATTAAAATAACACCACAGGTAGTTGGTAGATCTGTGTAAAAAAAAAAAGGCCTGCCGCCACAGCTGGAAAAAATCCTAGAGGAAACACTGCATCATATGTGTATTAATCGTCAACCGTGTTTCTGTTCGTTCTGCTTAATCACTTTTACTGCTTTTAACTACATAACACAATACTTGTACGTTTACTTTCAGTATTTGAGTATTACATTTTAGAATGAACTACTTGCAATTAGGGATGTAACGGTATCAGAATTTCACGGTACGGTAATACCTCGGTATAAATGTCACGGTACGGTATTTATTGAATCATTTACAGGAAAAAACAAAACTTATGAAAATACTCCAAAAAAGTGCCAAAAGTGTCAATGACATACAAATTAGCCATCTACCTTTAAGCTTTGGAACAGGAACTTCAATTTTAATAACAAAAAATTATTAAACCATGTAAAAAAATAAAGTTTCAATTTAGTATTGTTGAAAACTCATCACATTCAACATTTAATCACGCACTCACTTAGATAGAGATGGGTTTAAAGGAAAATTATCATATAAATATAATCTGGTAAAAGCTGGTATCTCTGGGTATTTACAATGTCCCCTGCAACAGAAAAAACCCCTCTCATTTGGGACTGAGGTTTCTGGGACAGAGATATGACTTGGCCCAGGTTGACAGCAGTGGGTAACGTTGTGCATTGTCTTTCCCCCACTTGAGAGGACAAGCCATGAGTGAGATAGAGGTCTCATGTCTGCATAAATCTGAACAGTGTGCTGTGTCACACCCTCCGTCCCGCCCTTCAGTACGCGCGCGACAACACAGCTGATCAGAACGCGCGCAACAACACCGCTATTCAGTACGCGCGCGACAACACAGCTGATCAGAACGCACGCGACAACACCGCTATTTAGTACGCGTGCGGCGACAACGCCCGCTTCAGGTTCGATCATTTCCAGCTCTTTTTGATGCCCGCTTCTAGCAGTACACTCCATTTCCGCATTACTGGATCTGTAGTAACAACAGACCGCAAGGGATTATGGCCAAGCCTGGGCTGATGGGAATTGTAGTTCCCGCTACCTCCCGTTTGCTTCATTCTCCTGAGCAAATTTTCTCAGAAAACCTATAGTTTTACTGAGTCATGCGACTACGGTAATATCGAAAAAAAATAATATTGCGGTATGACGGTATTTACAATACCGTTACATCCCTACTTGCAATACTTAAGTACAAAAAATGCTGAATTCTTTAGTACTTCCACTTAAGTATGATGCTTAAAGAGCACTTCTACTTCTACTCAAGTCACTTTTTTAATAGAGCACTTGTACTTTTACTTAAGTCTGGGTCTCTAGTACTTTATACTGTACATCTCTGCATATAGTACATGCTGTACTGCCATGAATAAAATGACAAGAGTCAAACTTTTTCATAAAAGTAATCTCAAATATTGTAATGCTTTACTTTAACAAATGTGTATTTCTATAAATGAAGTCTAGATATAATTTATATATAATAGGCTTGATTTAATCACACAGCATATTTCATGCACAATAATGTGCATAAATGTAGTAAAAACAACTATCAAGTACATCAACTTGTTAGTTTACAAAGGAAAACTGTGTAAGCGAAATAAAGTAATGCTAAATATGAATAGATTTGCTGATCATTATGCCTGACTGTGATTGTTTTTTCTCGTTTATTTCAGATGCGGATCAAGGACTCATCTGTGCATGTCATTTTCCAAAGATGTTCCTTTAAAGAGCAAACAATCACGTGGACAAACTCAGCCAGTCCTGATGTTTGCAGACTGCAGTTTTTTTCCATTCACACTGATCTCTGAGCAGCTCGTAAGTGTGAACTGCAGACAAACAAAACAAACAAACCCTGGCCGACTGATGGGCAACATCTGTGCAAACTCCAGCATCTTGTGTAACTGTCACTGGTGTCGTGCAGATGTAAATCATGCTGTGTTTTTATACCAGCCGGATTAACTCGGCTTGGCAGTTTAAGCCAGTTCTGCTGCCAGCCGCTTCCACAATGGGAAAAGTATTCAGCCGGTTACATAATGCAGCCGTTTACAGGTTAAAAGTCAATGTGAAAGCATGGTCAGCTACATGCAATGCAGTTCAAAAAGAACAATCTCATGCTTTTTGTTGCTTTCTTGTACAGATATCTAAACCTTTCTACAGTGAATCGAGATCAAGAGAGAAGCTAAATGATATGTAAAGGATAAAGTACATGCTGCCGGTTGTCATTGCACAATAAAGCCCGAAAGTGTTCATTAAAAGTTTATTAATTAAAATAATTGTATTAGAGTGATCTGCAAAAATAACCGGCTGGATGTGCTTTATCCTGCTTATTACACAGTTATTTGCCAGATAACTAAACAATTAGACACAATGCTTTGATTTGAGCTAGAGGTGTGAACCTATACTGGTCTCACGGTTCGGTTTGGTTACGATTATCATGCCATCGATTCGGTTCAATTCGATATCTCGGTGCATCACGGTGCATTGACGATGCTTTCCATATATAGTGTTATATTTTTTTGCCGTCTATAACTGAATGTGTGTCAGAAAAATCGAAAACAAAACCAACTGAAGCGCGCTCATTTCTGGCGCCCCACTGGATGTACAGCGCCCTAAGCATTTGCCTATGGTGCCTATGCCACGGACCGGCCCTGAGTTGGCTGAGTGTTGTAAATAACGGCGCTCACCTCCCTCGCGACAGAGCGCATAGGAGATAAATGACGTCACGACATAATAACCGGTTATGGTTAATACTGGAACTATACCGAATTGTCCGCGTCTGCATCGCGGTGCACCGAAGAAACAATTAATTTTGACACCCCTAATTTGAGCTGTAATAATTTACTGCTCTTTAATTAATATTTACACTGTAAAAATATCTTGCTGCCTTACATTAAGTTGATTCAAATTAACTTTGCTAGTCATCTCAACTCAAACTGACTATTGAGTTAAACTTTGTATAGCTTAAGAAATTTAGTTGAAAGCTGATTAACTTATTAAAACGAAGTTAAAGCTACAAAAATACTTGGCTTTTTTTTCAGTGCACACTGCCTGACAAAAGTCTTGTCATCAATCCCAGTTGTAAGAGCCACAAATATTAACTTGGATTACTTGAATAACATGATAACTTGAATAACGTGGATTTTTCCCTTGAATGATCTGTTGATCTGCATCCCGATCATCACAAATACTGCAGAAGACCTACTGGAACCCAAGATTCTCACAGAAATCAGTCAAGTTTGGTGAAGGAAAAATCATGGTTTGGGGTTACATTCAGTATGGGAGACATCTGCAGAGTGGATGGCAACATAATCTAGATCTATATCGTAATCTAAAGGCCTTTGCCTTTCATTTAAGCTACACCTGATGCCAAATGATCAACTAGAAGTCAATTTTTGATTTGCTGTTCCTAAAACTTGGAAAGGCGACAAGACATTTGTCAGGTAGTGTAAGTGAATATGATATGCTGTAATAATAGATATTAAGAGATTTTTTTATTTGTTTCACCTAAAGGGCAAGCAGAAGTTTATTTCATACCCCACTGATTGAACATTGTAATTGTTTTTAAACAAACTTAATTAAATGTGTAGTACATGTGTTCTATAGAAAACAACACTTAATATATACTTGTATAATTTCTCAAGTTTCTAAGAGTGTTTAGATATTTATACTGGAAAGCAAAACAAAAAAATGAAAGATCAGGTCCTCCATGATGAAGACTTATTTTGTTGAATTTATAGTTCTTGGTATTTCATAAAATACAAGTCAACTGGTACTTTGACAGTCAAAAAAATAAATTATATTTAGCAAAGCAAAAAAAAACTAATCTCTGTGGCTGCTGAAGATACAGTAGAGAACTTTGAACGTGGAAATTAAATGTTATTTACAAGATTATCAGCTTTAATCTACAGTCTAGAGCACTTTCACATCAATCGAGCACAAGCTATGAATAATAATCTGTTTTTTTTATTACACAAACCAAGCATTTCACTTCATAAGGACCCATCTGGTGTCACGGTCACACAATGAGGACAAGGATGGTTACCTCTTTTCATCGGGAGATCTTGATCAAAGGGGTCCTATTATGCTCTTTTACAAAGTCTTGATTTTGTTTTGGGGGTGTACAACAACATGCTCTTGCACGTGGTGGTTCTAAAAATTATTTCTTCACATTCATTCATTTATTTTTCTTCGGCTTAGTCCCTCCTTATTTATCAGGGGTCGCCACAGTGGAATGAACTGCCAAATATTCCATCATATGTTTAATACAGCGGGATGCCCTTCCACACAGAAATGCCAACTGGCCCAGCCAGAACTAGAACCAGTGACCTTCTTGCTGTGAGGCGACAGCGCAAACTAGAGATCTGCGCGGGACTCAATTTTGAATCCCGCTCCCGCCAGGTTTTAGCTCGAAACCGACCACTCCCGCTTATATTCAGCATTTGTCGTCTTGCTGCCCACCCTGCCCCGTTTTCTACCCGCCGTGCCCGTTCCCGCTAACGGGGGGTGGGGACAAAACCGAAAACCACCTAGCTATACAGGGTCCAGACAGCCTTTAACAAGCTGTCTGTATAAACACACACGCAAACACATAAGCACCAATCAAGTGACACACACACAGACACACACACACACACACACACACACACACACACACACACACACAGAGACAGCAACAAACAAGCTAAACGCAGCATTATGCTGTCTCATTCACACACATACATACGCGTGCTCGCTCGCTCGGAAGTCGGGTGCGATATTGATAGACCGCCCGCTCCCGTCTAAAATGAAACCAGTTACCAACCGCTCTCGCACTTAATTCAGAAATTTGCAGATCTCGAGTGCTAACTACTGCGCCACTTTATTATTTGATTCAAATATTAATTTGAGCCAGATTCAGACCCTGAGAATATTGATAATTTCTCAGCAAAGTGTTCTGCAGTTTATAAAAAAGAAATCATAAAAACTTTTCAGGATTTACTTTAAAATGATCTGCTTTGTGACATCTTAAACTGTAGCCCAAACAACACGTGCATTGTAGTTCTCTCCCAAAGTGAAGTTTATTTATAAACAAATTTCGAGAGGATCACGTGCTTATGATTGTTCACAGCTGTTCCAACTTTAGCTAATGACTGATTATCCTATCAGACGATCCTTAACTCACTATAAATAACCAGACCTTTTCTCATCTCAATATCTGTCTTGAAGAAACCCCCCCACCCAACCCTACTTTCCCTCCTTTCAAACGGGCGTCATGGTGGCCAGCGATAAGCGCTGTTGCCTCACAGCAAGAATGTCCCTGGTTTAATTCCTTTCCAAACCAGACGGCATTTCTGTGCGGCGTTTGCTCGTTCTCCCCGTGGTCGCGTGGGTTTTCCCCGGGTCCTCCGGTTTCCTCCCACAGTTCAAAAACAAGCACTCTAAACAATTAATCAAAATACATTAGCTAAACTCTGAGTACACCTTTCAGCATCCATATCCGACACTTAGCTACAACAAGCAAGAAGGGGAGTCATCGAGATCTACCTGAGCTCAAACTCCCCTCTCACCTTGCAACGGGAGGGAGCCCAGGGCTCGAGGATCTTAAAAGCTCAGGGCTCTCTCCCGGGACAGCACGCCAAACTAGCTTTATTTTCAATCATCAGCTAAGTGTGAACTCTTGAATCAGATTTTATTAACACTGAAATATCTCAAATTTGCAGTGGATTTGTAACCTTTTAGATCTTTTGTTTTGTTTTCAGTTTTATTCAACAAGTGGTATCCAACACTCAAAAAATGGCTTTTTGTTAAAAATGCATTAATGTTGGATATTACATTAATAATAAAAATGTCACACACACATCACACTGACATCCAAAAAGTGAAAAAGCATGACAGGACTCCTTTAACGCAGCGATGATGATGCAGATTAACATTAATGTAATGACGTTCAGAGCAATAATTAGGCTGCACTTAAAAAAAGGAAGCTGACCATGTTGACTTACAGACTTCTGAGTTAATGGCACGTGGACGTGAAAGTGAAGGTTGTGTGTGCTTGTAAATACTGTTTACACTGTTCAAAGATCACTTCACTGCGACTGTAATAAATGTCTTTAATAAGTAATAGAGCCTGTGCTCAGAATGCAATACTGCATACTGCATATTAATCATCATGTACTTATTCATTTGAAACCGTGCAATGATAAATGATTCATACTGCTTATTGCACACAGCAAAAAAATATTTTTTTTTCTTAGTATTTTTGACTGCTTGTAGTACAAAATTCTAAAATATGCTTTTACTTGCAAAGCAAAATGACTATAAGATAATATGCATTGCTTTCTGAGAAATGCATCAACATTATGAGAATTTGCTTAGAAGAAAAACATTTGAGTTTATTAAAGTGTTGGTTTTTGAAAATGACACCATTATTACAGTTTTTCTCGATTGCTTTGATGCAGCCGTCAACTGAAACTCCACATTTTCAAAACAGTAAACAAACAGGCCTAAACAGCAGCACTCATGGTCAAAATGACACATTTTGCTTGCAAAACGCACATACCGTGTCAAAACATTTAAAATATGCACCAAAAGCTAGTTTTACCTTCAAAGAACAAAATACAATATACAGAACTCAATGTGAATCAGTGCACCATTGCTTGTCCTTGCAGCCTATTGCCAAAGCCATGTGTTGTCTTTCTATTTGGGCTGTCAAATTTGCCTTTTTGCAAAGAACTGGATCCAGAATAAGAAATGCTTTGATTAAATTTAAATTGAATTCATGACATTTTGTTTGAAAACAGAAACACTGTAAAAAAAAAAAAACAATAAAAAAAACAGACAAAAGTATTAAAATACAGTAAATATTAGAGAAAACTCTATCTCTAAAACTCTAATCTGTTGGGTGTATAGGCCATTACTGACCTCCTCCATCCATGCTGGCACAGAACAACACAGACCTTCCACCGTTTTTACAGTTTTTCTTGATTGCTTTGATGCAGCCGTCAACTGAAACTCCACATTTTCAAAACAGTTAACACACAGGCCTAAACAGCAGCACTCATGGTCAAAATGACACATTTTGCTTGCAAAACGCACATACCGTGTCAAAACATTTAACATATGCACCAAAAGCTAGCTATTTTCTATGCATCATACTGAAAAGTAATACTAGGTTAAGTGCAGTGCATTGTGAAATTCATTAATAATCACATTTTTATGGCAGAAATTAGCATTTTGTTCTTGTTTCAAGCATAAAATAAAATGTCATTTTGTTTCTCAAGTAAAAGCATTTTGATTTCTGAACATTTACACATTTGTACTGGAGAGTAAAACAATTCACTGAGTAGAAAATGCTTTGCATGTTTTATTAAGCAGTCAAGATTTATATTTTACATGCATAGCACAAGAAACAAAGTCAAGATGAGTGCATTGTGGGATACGTGGTTCACCGTAAGCAGTATATTCAGTGCACAGTATAT